CAGATCCTATTATAGACGGTTGTGAGCCACCATGTGGTTGCTGGGAATTGAACTCAGGACCTCTGGAAGAGCAGCCAGTGCTCTTAACCTCTGAGCCATCTCTCCAGCCCCCGGTGTTTTCATTTTGAAAAATTTTCTATTTATTCTTATTTATTTTTGAGACATGGTCTCACTAGGTTAGTTTGGCCTGTAACTAACAGAGATCCTCTGTGGCAGCTTGGGTCTTCTGTTGGGTTGGTTTTTTTGGTTTTGGTTTTTGTTTTTCCATAGTCAGGCAGCCAGCAAGCCCCAGCAATCTTCTGACCTCTGCCCCCTGCAAAGCTGAAATGACAGGTATGTGAGGGACCAGACAGTTTGTATGTGGGTGCTGGGATCAGGACTCAGCCTCGTGTTTATACAGTGGGTGCTCTGAACACTGAGTCATCTCTCCAGCCCCAAATATATAATTTTCCACAAAAGATTTCTAGTTAGTAAGAAATCTTCTAACTCAGAGTACTAAGACAGCCGAATTAAAATATGGATGAAAGAGTTTAACAAGTACCTCAGAGCTGCTTCTAATAAATACATGGAAAGCTCGACGTCATTGGTTGTTAGAGACTTGTACATTAAAATCCCAATGAGATAATGATGTAATATCATGCATCAATTAGAATGGGTAAGCTTTTTTGGGGGCGGGCAGGGTCTCACTATGTAGCTCTAGCTGACCTGGAACTCACAGAGATCCCCCTGCTTCTGCCTCTCCCAAATGCTGGGGTTTAAAGGCGTGCACCACCACACCTGGCTAGAATAGCTAAACTTTGAAAGACGGGAAATACCAGCCTTTCAAATGCACATACCTCTAATCCTAGCAACCAGGAGGCAGAGGCAGGTGGATCTCTGTGAGTTTGAAGCCAGCCTGGTCTACATAATGAGTTCAAGGCCAGCCAGCACTGTATAGTGAGATCCTGTCTCAAAGAAAACAAGCATTAATAATACTTTTTTTCTTAAAAAAAAAAAAAAAGTGTGTGGGGGGCTAGAGAGATGGCTCAGAGGTTAAGAGCACTGACTGTTCTTCCAGAGGTCCTGAGTTCAATTCCCAGCACCCACATGGTGGCTCACAACCATCTGTAATGAAATCTGGCACCCTTGTCTGTGTACATAATAAATAAATAAATAAATAAATAAATAAATAAATAAATAAATAGATGGAAAATGATGGACTGTGATATGGAAATGTAAGCTAAATAAACTCTTCCTCTCCGAGTCAATGTCTTGTTACAGAAACAGAAAGCAAGCAGTACAATGATTGAACCTCAAAAGACACTAGCTCAGAGAAACCAGACATAAGAGTGCGCATGATGTGTGAGTATGTTCCAGTCAAAGTTCTAAAACAAGCCAAACCAGGGAAGGGCGACAGAGCCCAGGGTACAGGAGACCCAATCTTGACAAACCAATCAATAATAATAATGCTGAATTAATGAATAGCAGTATCGTGTAATAAGTCCTAGCAGGAAGGAAATGTGGTATTGTAAGAGAGAATGGTGAAGAAAGGCGTATTTTGATTGGCTGGCCAGGGAAGGAGTCTCAAGGGATGACATCTGAGCAGTGGGTGTCCAGAGGGAACCACCCATGCAAAACAGGGTGGAGGGTATTCCAGGCGAAGAGCACTAAAGATCAAAAGCCTGGGATCAGGAAGAAGTTTGGTGAGTCTGGGCACAGTTGGAGGCCGTGGTAACTGGCCAGGTCGGGATGGGCAGAGAGGATAGAGAGGGAGCAGAAACCAGATCCGGCAGGGACTTACCAGCCCTGATAAAGACTTAAGAATTTGAAACCGTAAATCCCTCACAGTCTAGTGAGCAAAAACACATGGGCACATAGTCGAGTCATGGGTGAGAGCAGAGAGTAGCCAGTGCTACCTGGGGACACCTGGGAAGCCTTCACAGAGGTGACATTTTACCTGAGAACAGGAGGGTGCCGGAGGGGATGGGTCAGTCCAGTGGAGGGTACCGTGTCTAAGATGCCTACAGGCGTGAGGCCACCTGGGACGTTCACAGACCTCCCGTGCTGTAAGTACTGTTGAAGTGCTTCCTGTGGGAGACAGGAGGCTCTGAACTTCTCTCAGCCTAGATCCTGCAGGGCATGGGACCCCCCTGAAGAACTCTAAGTCTGCGAATATCAGAGTGATGTTATACTTCAAGCAAGATCTCTAGCCCAGGCAGGCAGAGAGTAGGACCCCGGATGTAGTGTGATGAGGTCATGGAGAAGGAGTGGGGGCGGGTCCTGGGGAAGTAACGAACTCCGCCACTCATCAGTGTGCCCATCTGGGCTGAGGAAAAGAGCTGCAGAGTCTGAGGAGCCCGAGGATGTAACTGCCAGCGTTGGTGTATGTTGACTCCCGGGAAGATCCATAGGCTCCAAACCCTGGATTCAGGAGCTTTGGGTCTAGTAAGGAACCTAAGAATCTGCATACATGAAAACGTGCAGGAACATTTGACAGTCTATGGGAATAGTCTATACTTGCGTGGTATGATGGATATGAGGGACTTTGTCCAGATTCATTTAACTGCCCACCTTAAAAGGGGTGCAACTTAGCAAACATAAGCTCTACCTCAGGAAGAAGTAAACCAGCCAGATGTGGTGGCTCACACTCTCTCTCATGCAGGTGAACTCCATACCTTGTGGCTGCCAATTCAGTCTCTCCAGCCTCCTGGAATGGGAGGCAGAATGAGCACACTCTCATCTGGATTGAGGCTGCAGTGGCCCAGGGAGCCAGGTAAAGCCATAAGGCCCTGGTGTGATGTGGACAACAGTAGAGCTGGTGTCCCTACCTCTGCAGCTGAAGAATTGCAATTGATTGGTCCTGGCCATCTGCACCACAATGGTTCCTGATCATCCTTCAGGGACTTGATTCCCAGGGCTGCCTAAACGGAGCGTGGTGGCACATTCCTGTAATAATAGCACTAGAGGTGGAAGCAGAAGAATCAGAGTTCAAGGTCATTCTTGGCTACTTAGTGAGTTTAGATCAGCCTGGATACATGACAGCCGGTCTCAAAAACAAACTTAAGAGGCACAGCAATTAAGTGGCACAGCCTTTTAACTTGTAAGGTATGAATGGCCTGAGCAGGAGGTTTCTGGGGTGGCGGTGTGACTACAGTAAACTGGAGAACAAGTTCCTGTGAGGGGAGCTGTTTGGACCACACTTTTGCCCCACGGAGCCTCCGCGCAGTGGCTGAACCTGAACCTTCTAGGTTGGTATTCGTGTTATTCCCAGTTAACAGATGAAGAAACTGAGGCTCAGAAAGATTCAGTTAATGGTTCTGGGTCCCAAAGTGAGGATGTAGGAGACCAGCCCTACGTAGCACTGCGCTATCTCCCCCCAACTAAGAGAAGCCACAGGGTAATCGTGAATGATTTTCACAAGAAGAAGGCTGGGTGTGGGTATAAGCTGTGTCCCTGCCTCCCAGAAGATATCCCAGTTCTCCGTGTGTGTGTGTGTGTGTGTGTGTGTGTGTGTGTGTGTGTGTGT